GAAGGAAGGAAGGAAGGAAGGAAGGAAGGAAGGAAGGAAGGAAGGAAGGAAGGGAGGGAGGGAGGGAGGGAGGGAGGAAGGAAAGGAAGGAAGGAAAGGGAGGGAGGGGGAAAAAAGTCACTAGTCTTGCACCACAACGCTTCTAAGTGTAAGGCTAATCTTGTCCATCTGATCTGAGAGCATGGTCAGAAGGACAAATAAACTCTAAAGTTTTGTCTAAGCCACAAAGATCAGCCGGCTAGATCAGCTCCTCCCCCTTGCTCTTCCGAGGCCCCTGCCCTGGGGACGGACAAATGGAGTCCGGGGACCTCTCTGTGGGCTGGATCCAATCTCCGACGCTGCTGCAGCGCCAAGATCTCGACACATTCACAACATGATGCAAGAGACAGGCAGTCACTTCAGGAAAGGGAGAGAGAGGGCAGGTACAAGGGCAATGGTAGGCGGAGCTTTCCCCAGAAGGGTGCCCAACCGACAAGGCGTTAGAAGCTGCGTTCTTTCTCCAGGAGGGGATGGGCGAAAGCGAAGACCCCTGATCATGACTGCAGGAACGCAGCCAGGCCCTTAGAAACCGGCGGCGGGCCCCGCCCCTGCGACCAGGAGCCCTGCAAGCTGGGCCCCACTGTCAACCGCGTTTCCAGCCGCTACTGTGCGGACCCCGCTTCTGTTCGCACGAGGGCGCGCAGCTCGCCCACTCACCCCAGGGGGCGCAAGGAAACCGCGGGGTCAGCTGCGCGCACTTCGGAGTCTATTCTGGGCGGCTCGGAGGCCTCATCTCGATCGCGGGCCCTCCAAGAACCGCCCTGGTCCAGAGCAGGATAGGATGGGGGTTCCCCAAGGGAGGACTGCAGGAAGATGGAACGGGATTTCTTCACCTGCCCTTCATCGCCTAAGTGGCTGTCCCTTCCGTGTCATCGCCACGGTCCCCATATGCACCCCGTTTGTCCTCCCCTCTTCCTGCCCTATCTCGCCTCCCCTCAACTTCACCTCCTTTCGTGACCGCTGGCCGGGTTGACCCTGCGGGGCCTGCGCTCTTCACCCTCAGGCCAGCCTATTCTTCTCTCCCTGTGTGCACCCCAACGCCTCCCAGTTTGGCCTGGAGTATGTATTAGGTTGGTGCAAAAGTAACTGTGGTTTTGCAATTTTTCACAAATGGCAAAAACCGCGATTACTTTTGCACCACCTATAAATATAGGCAGGGGGAACGGGCAAGAAAAGCCTTAGAGAAGGCGCCAAGAGCCAATCACCTAGCCCGCCAGGAGTATTGGTTTGCCAGAGGCATGAGATATATTGAAGCAGAAAAGGAAGAAAAAAGATTAAGGAGACAAATTGTTCATGATAAGGGGTTTCCTGATAAACTCAGAAACAGCAACTACCAGTTATGAAGCATTTAAACTGACACTCATTAATCCTCACAACGGTCCTGTGCAGGTGGTGTTTTTTTTTTTACCATCTTACATTCTGGAGCTGCAGTTGGTATGTAACAAAGGCAGCATTTGAACCCTGGCCTGTTCATACCAGAGTGGGGGCATCTAACTGCACCCACAAAGGACAATGGAGGAAGACTGCGTCATTATAACATGAGCAAATGGGGAAAAGACAAAAACAAATGCTTTTATTATGCCCAGGTTGTAAATTTATAAACATGAATGAAATACACATACAAGAGGCTGAGGCAGGAAATCACTTAAACCTGGGAGGCAGCGGTTGCACTGAGCCAAGATCGCATCACTGCACTCCATCCTGGGCGAGAGAGCAAGATTCTGTCTCAAAAAAAAAAAAAAGTGGTTCCATATGATACAAATGTTAGAAAAAGGACAGATGTTAGTTTGCTGACTCCGGCAAGGAGTTACCTTTTGGGTGATAGTTCTCACCACAGCCCAGGATGCCAATGTATTCTCTAGTTACATGTTAAGATCTCCAAATCTAGGGCATCCCTCCTCAAACAATGCCAGTCCTACACTGCTAAATGTTTACTGAATGAATGGATGAATGAAGGCAACATTTTTAGATGTGGGAATCCCACAGTGCTTGGTTCTCTAGATTAATCTCTAGGGGCCTCCTTTGAACTTGGTTCTTCAACCTCCTCAGTTGCCCACATACTACATCCTAGGGTGAGGCATTTCTCCAGACTTCACTTATTACCTTGAAAGTGCCATACTCTCACATGTAGGCCTTGACATGCTAGCTCTTTTGCTAAAACTCTTCCTGCTCCTCTCCCCATGTTCCCCACCTGTCATCTACTTCTATCCACCCTTTTACTCAGGCCAAAAATCTAGGAATTTTCCCATTACCACTTTGCTCCACTGCTATAACCAGAGGTGACAGTGACTCGTAGCAAGGATACATGTCCACCAGCAAGTTCTGGTTATCAGAAAAATATAAGAGTAAATTTGGTCACCGTGTAATGGAAATGCAAATCTAGTGATGGCAGCAGCGGTATCTTGACAGGAGATATGAATTTGGGAGCTCTGACCTGTGACCTGTCATTGTCAAAACTGTCCAAACCTGTTTCAGAGCACAGGTTTGACTAGCTCCCTAAAAAAACCTCAGGATACTCTCTCCTAGTATCCCAGAGAGCTCTGGGAGCGCTTGAGATCAGTTGCAAACTAATGACAATGAGTCATCAGCAATGTACTAGGGAATGAAGAGCTATCAAACTTCTCTGGGTTTTGAGATCTGTGTAATACCAACATCACTTTGGGGTATATTGTTGTTTTGTGTGTTTTCTTAAGACAAAGTCTCTCTGTTACCCAGGCTGGAGTGCAGTGGCGCAATCTCGACTCATTGCAACTTCTGCCTCCCAGGCTCAAGCTATTGTTGTGCCTCAGCCTCCCAGGTAGCTGGAATTTTAGGCGCACAACACCACGCTTGGCTAATTTTTCTATTTTAAATATAGACCGGGTTTTGCCATGTTGGCCAGGCTGGTCTCAAACTCCTGACCTTAAGTGATCTGCCCGCCTCAGCCTCCCAAAGGGTTGGGATTACAGGCGTGAGCCACTGCACCACGGCTGGGGTATGTTTACTAAAACATTCATCTGTAAAATGAAGCTAGCTGCTTTGCAGAATTGAGAATAAAGTTTAGATATGTACAAACATACGTGTGTGTAGGTAGGTGGAAAGACAGAAGATAAAGGTGCCCTCTACTATTCTTTTCTCTTCTCTCCCCTTTCAAGACCAAAATGACTCAGAACACAAACTCATGTATCAGGCCCCTTAAATAGCTGCTTAAAGGATTGCCCTGAAGGACTATTTTGATTTCGCATTTTTTAAAGTTTGATTTTATTTTATTTTATTTTATTTTTGAGACAGAGTTTTGCTCGTTGCCTAGGCTGGAGTGCAATGGCGTGGTCTTGGCTCATCCCAACCTCCACCTCCCAGGTTCAAGGGATTCTCCTGCCTCAGCCTCCCGAGTAGCTGGGATTACAGGCATGTGCCACCACGCCTGGCTAATTTTTTGTATTTTTAGTAGAGACGGGGTTTCTTCATGTTGGTCAGGCTGGTCTCAAACTCCCGACCTCAGGAGATCCGCCCACCTTGGCCTCCCAAAGTGCTGGGATTACAAGCATGAGCCACCACGCCCAGGAAAGTTTTACTTATTTAAAAAATATGGCTGGGCACGGCGGCTCACACCTGTAATCCCAGCACTTTGGGGGACCGAGGCAGGCAGATCACCTGAGGTCAGGAGTTTGAGACCAGGCTGGCCAACATAGTGAAACCCTGTCTCTACTAAAAATACAAAAATCAGCCAGGCAAGGTGGCAGGTGCCTGTAATCCCAGCTACTTGGGAGGCTGACACAAGACAATCACTTGAACCCGAGGCGGAGGTTGCAGTGAGCCAAGATTGCGCCACTGCACTCCAGCCTGGGCAACAGAATGAGACTCTGTCTCAACAACAACAACAAAAAAATTCCTAGTTCTACTGAAACCTCAAACTATTTAGTCTTTTTTTTTTTTTTTTTTTGAGAGGGAGTCTCGCTCTGTTGCCCAGGCTGGAGTGCAGTGGCCGGATCTCAGCTCACTGCAAGCTCCACCTCCCGGGTTCACGCCATTCTCCGGCCTCAGCCTCCC